GTATAAGGAATACCGAATAATTATCAAATTTATCATATTATATATTATTATTCATGTAAAAGAAAAATATATATTGTATATTTAATTTTGTGAATTGAATAATAAAATAGTATTTTCAAACTTTTTGTCCACCGAAAAATAAACATATACTCAGATTCTTTGTTTCACAAGAAAAAAGTGAGTAGATTTTTTTCCATCACTCTTTTCAGGTTTTTCTCCCCAGGCTTTCTGACTAATTACTTGTACTTTATAACTTTTAAGAACATTCTAACAAATGAACAATAATTTCTTTGTTAAACCTACATGAAAAATTTGTGTTTAAGTACCTGGTAAATAGAAATTGCCAATTGTAAGGTACACGTGTAACTGCACCTGCTAATGCCAAGTAATTGCTATTGATATTATACTGATAAATCTAAGATGATTCATCAAACATGCAATTTTACAAAATAACCAAATTTCCTAATTCATTTAAATTCATGTTTCAAAAAAAAAATATAAAAAAAGAATCATAGCTTAAGTGAAATTAGAGTGTAAATTAGAGCAACATTACGTAGGCCATGTCACCATGGATAGCCCAATGTAAGTACCAATAATGTATGTCATACATAATAAATTATTTAAAAACTAAGTATAGCTATAGGTAGGTACCTACCATAAGTTTCATTTATTAGTCTAAAGGTTCATTACAAGCTGTAAGTGCAATGTTATACATAGATATGGCAGGAAACAAAAAGAGGAAAGTAGTTAGAACTAGTTTGGTTTATTTATTTTAATATATCTAATACTTGTCACATACTTAGAGCATTTCAAAGGATTTTTAATTTCATTGTATGAGACATTCTACAATAATTGAACTTTTTCAACTGCCATTGAAATAATATACATAAAATAAAATAAATTATTATACACTGAACTCAAGAATACATGTAGGCACCTATATTATATTGGCCTTTATTCTTTAAAGGTAACCATTCAATTAAAAAGTCAATTTATGAGTAGATAATAGTATTTAATAAATTGATCCTGCATTAGGCACACATTTTCATAAAAATACACATTTTACAATATTAAAACACCTGTCTTAGCCTAATGTTGTATGGTTAAATTTATAAGTTACATAACAACTTTTTATTATAAAATTCAATAGTTTATAATATATTTAATTTACAATATTTTGGCAAAATAATTGTTCATGAGGGAAGCTTTTTGAAGTCATCATTCATTGGTTGAATATTAATGAGTATATACCCTATAATTTTTTTTTACAAAAACACCACTGGTCTTGACAACTAGATCATCATAAAGACATTAAACACCATACTTGAGATTTTTACATTAGAAATTGTTTTGCATAATCTGAAATCAAATTAAATTAATTGAATATAATTAACCCAGCCCCAATTTATATTTTCAAATACTCACTGTTAGATGTTAGAATCATTGTAACAATTGGAGGTGCCTACCAAGCAACTATTTGGTGCTCGTCCAGGTCTCTTTGCTGAACACCTGACATGAGGGAATGCAATTATAGTTGGTGTAGGATAATAGTAAACCAGTAATGACTAATGAGCCATCGAGCTACGTCTGTTTTCTGGTGGCAGTTCTGTTAGGAGGTGAGGCTTTTGCAGTCATCGTAGAGCAAGGTGGTTGAGGCGTCCTTGCTAGTGTGTGTCCCTCGTGGTGGTTGTGTTGTGGGTTGGCCATGTTCTTCTCGGCATAGTGGATATCAGGGGTTCCAGTGTAGACTAGATTAGGCCAGACCTAGTGAACGCGCTGGCAATCTGGCTAGAACCGAAGTGGGGTTGGACCGAGTGTGGGCTTCACCAATGTATCGTCCGTCTCCTCTGCCTGTATATGGCGGTCTGTCACCATCAAGTATCTTTGGTTCAGTCACTGATGTAGGTGGCAGTGGAGATATACCCCCTGTTGCCGGCAGTCTGTTATTAGCCAGTATTCTTGGCATGTCTGCTGCCTGTTTCATGGGGACGCAAGCATCATATGCTGGTCACGGATCCAGGTTGGTACACAGTTGATGTTCCTTCACCGAGACTAAGAGTGGAACCTCAGAGCATCTATAAAAAAGTATATGTTGAAACTTAATGAGCCACTTTTTATTTTCTAGTTAACTTATTTGTTCATATAATTTATTTATTACAATATATTATAATAATATATACTAACTTAGTTAATATTTACAAATTTAAACATTGTAACTTGTTTTGTCTTGTTGTTGAGACTAAAAACATAAATATTCATAATTTTTGTTAATATTTCTTATTTTAAAATTATAATTTATACAGATTATCATTGAAAGCAATTAAATAGTTTAAATCAAAAACTTTTGGCAGTTCAAAAAGAAAACAAGCTTCTAAATAATGAAAGTAAAAAGAATTTGAATTGAATGTTTATACACGATAAAGAGAAAGTGAAAAGTGAGAGAATGTGGATATTGTATCAGGAATAACACTCAGTATTATGACATCAGCTTAGTTGTATCTACTTCAAACTTTTCTTTGCCATGTAAAAAGTCATTTAAAAAATGCTGTGAATTATTTTACACGTTTTCATATTTTAGGTCTTTCTAGACTAAAAAGATTTACTAAAACATTTTCCACAGAGCCAGGTGTATTAAATAATGTTTTAGGCATCATAAAACAAAAAGGTTAATAAATATCTCTGTTCTGATAGCACATTATTTTAATTTGTATGATTTTTAGAATTTTATATTTTGTTTTATACTTTTACATGTACTTATGAGTGACTGGTATTACCAGTATTACCCCACTATATGAGTAATGCCAGTCATTTGCTCGAAAAAAAATTATTCTACCCGACTCCAAAAATTTGAAATTTACATACACAGTAAGTTACAATCTCGCTAACAACTTAATAGTAATGTAAGCAATAATAAAATATTTGGATTTTTATCACCTACCAGAGATACATGAACTCCCAAGTATTCATATTCGAATGCAGTTATTTAATATATTGTACATTTTTACTTTATATATTTCCATTGTTCAGAAACAAATAATACAAGAAGACAGTTTAATGGCTTAGTTCAAGAATTCAAATGGTTACGAATAAACTTAAAAAACCATAGTTTAGTAATAGGACAGAACATGTAATTATAATTCAACAATAGGGATTAAATGGGATCAACAATTTTAGTATAATTCCTAAAAATGTGTCAAGAACATAGAGAAGTAAAACAATGAATTCAACTCATATTGCTTACCTACCTGTTTAAATTTTTTTAAAGACAAATCATTTTAAAAAATGTACTCTACAAAAAAAGATGTAGTAACTTTAAATAGATTTAGTATATTAAATACTTGAATTAATTTTATTTCAAAAATATGAATTAAAATTTTTTTCTGAGAGAACTTGTTCATGTTATACCTAGTACAGGTGTTGAGCATAGTAATATTGATTCAGTTGATACACAAATTAAAAGTATTTACTTGCTTGAAGGTATGGTTTTATTTTTTTACTTTAATTATAGCATATTTCTAAAAAATAATTACTTATTAATCAACATAATATGGACCAGGTGAAGAGTTACCAAATGAGCAACAAGTATTTATGCTGGCATACCGATTAAGAGTCCGCCGTCTCACGTATTTAGAAAAGATGCAATTGGACATATATGATACATCGTAGAGTGACACTCAATGTGAGTTCAGAAGATATTAATTATGCTTCAAATGAATACAATGATTAGATTAATTTATTCTTATTATGATTAAGGTATATACATGGTATATCTATTTAATTATTTTTATATTTATTTGATTACTAAAATGAGGTTTTTTGTAAATGTTTAAATAATATGTTGATGGTTTTTTGTGACAACACTATTTCTTTAAGTGAATTGTATTAGAATTGACTATATTTTGATTAAGATAGTAATTACAAATTGTATTAAAAAAATATAATATATTTTGCCCCTATACAAAGGCAGGGGGTCACATGTATAATATAAACCTAATATTTTTATCCTTATTTTTTAATACTGAAAATAAAAATATAAAATCTGATGTAATTTGTTTTTACAAAATAGCCAATACTTTGTAAATCTTAATTAGAAAACTGTTGATTGTAAAAAAATTTTATTAAGGTAAGTAGATTATTTTTTTAAATTATTCACATTATATTAGACAAATTAAATTGATACAATCGTTAAAACATTTTTAATTCAAAAAGTACCTAATATAAACTTTTAAAAATACTTAATGAGAATCTTTAAATAGGTTTTTTTAAATCTTTACTTCAATGAATGTTTATACTATCAAAAGGTTTCTAAAACCCAGATTTACAAATTAGCCAAGTTGAATTTTTAAAAAAAATTTTTACTCTTAGCATTAAAAAATAAAAATTGGTTATATACATGTGGCGCAAATGTCAATAATTAATGTATGAAAAAATTATAGATTAGAACAAAAGTTTTTTCATTTATCAAGTCTTCCTGTTATACCCTGTGTAGTAGATTAATTTTAAATAGTTACAAATTGTATAAAATAAATGTAATATACCTATAGTTAGTGACTGAAAGGCAGCATATAAAATGTTAGAAACTAATTTCACTGGATACAAGACTTTGCATGATGTTGTCATCAGGTCAGATTTAATGGCTTTTGATCAAACATATGTAACGAGGGTTTTTTAAATATTTGGTCATTTACATTTTTTTCATAACCATCATTGTAATTTTATTCACAACATTTACTTTGTCTGATTGCTTGAAAATGTCAGACAGGATCTTCGTCGATTTTCCTAAGTTCTACAACATCAAGACTTGCTCTAACTAATCCACCACGATTTTTCGCATTCAAGAGTTTCGATTCTGTCATTCTGATGTTTCAACTTCAAAACTCTGCAGAGCACAGACGGCGATTTTTTAAGGTCTAAACAGCGTAAAAAGGCGTAACATTTTTCAAAAAAAAAAAGACGTGATAACGAAAAAAAGCGAGATAACGCAGTGATGTCTCGGCTGCCGCGAGGAAAATTGGTGCGATTGGGAAGAAATCGACGGACCCTTTTCCAGCAGGAGCAAAAAAACGGACCGGAGTTTGAGCACCGCCGAAACGGCAACCCTGACGATCCCCAAAGTATCGAAGTGTCATGCATAGAACAATGAAATCGACGAAATTGTCGCACAATCAGGCGTAAGACGAAAACGACGTTGCCCCGTTTAGAGATAAGACGGTGTTTGGTGTGTGGGGCATCGATTCTCGGCTATTGTCTGGCGTCTGCGGACCGCCAAATTTTTATTTATCATCACTTTTTGTCGTCATCGTTGGCGTCTGTAAAGTGAAATTCTCTACCAAGATTAAGTTTTGTCGAGCAGACGGCAGCTGTCGTTTCCACACCGTCGCATAAAGTGTTTGGTCTATCGCCTTTTCCTAGACTACTGATTTTTCAAATCGTTTATACTGGTAAGTACTAAACACCAACTACCCACTGACGTAGGTATAGGGCAAAAAGTACAATGCGGCTACATTTGTTTCTTTTTTTAAGAACAAAATAATGCGTTATGAGACTTCACCTGCTTGAGTTCTCTATTTATTATGTTTCATGACGAAAAGTTTACTCTCACAATCGTGAATAGGTGACATTTGTTGAGGGGGATTAAAAATCAGTATCAACTGTCAAGTAATCGCTTAAGGTCCACTCACACTGTCTCATATATGATGCAATTACAAAATGCAACTACTACTGTGGTAGTGTGTGGTGTGCTAGCCTTTTTATGTTCATACATTTTTCTATTATAAAATTGAATACTACACAAAATCACTACTATCTAGTTGATTATCCCCTCGACAATTCTAAGGTGCTATTTGATTATTTTCATAATATAATTTGCACATAATAGTTGATAGATTCTACTTTTAATCGTGCCTTTTTAATAGTTATGTTCATTTCTAAATATTTAATTCCGTACAATATATTATGTAGTAGGTACATACCTTAATTTTTTTTTGACTACCTATTGATACAAAACATAATTTAATCAGTAACAGGGGTCTGACCAACAATATACAATATTCTACTTTTTATTGTGTATATGATAGTTACATGTGACGTCATTAAAAATACTTGATTAATTCTTAACAATATGGAACATTTGGTGTACCTTATTTTACTTAAAAACTTTTTTAATGGCTTTGCTGACATTAACACGCTGACTGCCTGTGTTCACAGACTATTTTTCCTACTCTTTATTTTTGATGTTATGCATAAAATCATTTTTTTTAAATTATAATTTTTAATCTATTTAACTCGGTTTAAGACAAGTAATATTTCTTTGTGAAACCTTCTCTCCTCTACGCCGTCATCTAAAAATATTCATTATTAGTTGATCTATTGACAAATAAATGTGTTTATGACAGCCACTGTCATATGACTTGTAGATAAATGCAAGGTGCAACGTCGAACACTTGTACAAATACTCTTATACTCTGATTCTATGTGGACGTTGGAAATCCCATGGCAGTCAACATATCAACTGTTCAACAGTGATATATATTTTATTTTAGACAAAGTCGAATTTTTAATTTAATTTATTAGCAATTTATTTTAGTGTAGTGGTTATTATTCAGTTATAATGTATTCTGTTACTAGACGTCTCACATTAAGAAGAGGATTGTACCACTTTAAAAATCTGCATACCCCTTTTCAAATATTTCCGATTTTATCCTGCAAAACTCCATATTTTAATAGTTTTTTACTTCATTTTTTATGCAAATACATGTCTTTACTATGTGTGGTCCACAATTTAGTTTTACAATTTATATCACTGAGGTAGTGTTCATTTCAATTATTCAATCAAAAGTTATAGTAATCTTATTATAAATACTAGAAGCAAAATTAATTAGCGTAGTCATTACCTGATTAATAAGTATTTCATAATTTTATTTGTTAGGTATTGGTAATTCTTAAAAACATTTTATAAAATGTCTCCCTATTGTGCAGAAAAATTATAGACTTATGTATACAGAACCCTATGTATACATTGTTGATTTTAATATTATTGGATTTTTATCTTTTATACTTTCTTATATTTTTTTCAGATTTATTCACCATGGAACAGTATATTGTAAGCAGTAATAGTGCATTAGAACTTAAACTCGGTAATTATAATACAAATAAAAAAAACTTGTGTGAATAATTTGTTTCTGTATACTTGTATACCTAATATTAATTTTTATTTTTAAGTCCGCAAACCTAGTGATATCCATGATCCTAAAGCAGCATTTTATCCAGACATGACTTATCAAGTATTTGGAAATATGTAAATATTTAAGTAATTTAATACAAATAAAATTGTTTAAACTAAATTTATTTTATTTTAGGGAAAAAATATTTGGTTACAAAGACCTTGTTGTAAAAATGTATTACACCGCTTGTAGCCTTAAACTGTATATTAATATAAGCTTTTCTTCTAAAGTGGATTCCGAGAAATTTGGTATGAATGTAAGTATTATATTCCATTTTTATCATTCAGTTTATGTAGCTTTTTTCAATCTACATGTATTATCTATAGAAAAATGTCAGTGGCAATAACTTTTGATAAAATAATTGTTTTAATAAATATAAGTTCATTTTATAAGTGTTAGTATTTTATACGCATTGTACTCGATAACATGATTTATTTGTCATAATTTCTGATTATTTATTTTTTTAATACAATATACTTCAATTAAAATTAATTTATTGGCAATAATGAAATTTCTTCAAATAGACATTATATATAACTGTAATTCTATAGAATTGCTGCTTGAATTAACATTGTTGGTTTTTTTATGAAAAATGTTTTCAGACACAAAAATAATAAAACACACATAATTGTACATTAATTTCTCCTCTCAGAATCTAAAATCGATCAAACTTTTGTTTTTTAAATTTAAAGTTTAATAAATAAATACGGTTTTGAATGTAACTAAATTTGGAAAAATGCTCATTACAATATGCATTACTCTAATTATTGTTGGTCACCTGTCATAACAATCCTTAAATTTAGTTCATGTATAAAATATTGTATAAACATTACTTAAACAATTTTTTTCAAAAATATATAATGATAAAATAAACACAATATCAAGGTTTAGTGTATTAATTGTTTCTGTTTAAAATTTTCCAACTAAATGTACATACTATATTTTAGATCTATATGTTAGTTGCATTGCACAAATTTTCTTTAAATTCAATGCTAGTTCTAACTCTTGATTTGTTTAATTAATAAATTAATAAATTATGTTAATTTTATAGCCGGACAATATAATGGAGAAACTTAAAGATTATATTACTCCTAATTTCTATTCAAATATTGATGTATTTGAAAAGTGTTTAGAAGATGAGCCGTCATTTAAGCCCTATGGAAATCAACTCGATCAATTTATTTTAAGTAAATTAATTTAAACTCAAATTTAGATTAACATTTACATTAACATTTTTTTACCATGGTTGTAGACCAAAATGAAGAAAACAAAAAATTTGAAGTCTATGTAATTGAAGACGAGAACACTGAGTTTAAAGAATATTTTAGTCAACTACAAACATTTGTTCTATGGTATATAGATTCATCAAATATAATTGATTTTGATGATTCTAAATGGAAGATATTCATCATGTGAGATATGATTTCTATTTTATACATATATTTGTTTTATTGGAATGTTAAAAAGAGCATTCACAGTTACGTCAAGCTTTGTGTTATGTCGATCAAAACATCATTGGGTGGGGCTCGGATACCTGGCTTATCTTGTGCGTGTAAATGTGGCTTGCTTTACACAAAAATATACCAACCTAATAATTTTATTTTCGATGTTTGAATTACGCATAAATATGTGATTTTTTTTTGCTTAAGACGATAGAAGTATCAGAATGTCAATGCCGTTAGATTTTTTTTTTTAATATTCAAAATACTTAAAAGGGATATTTTTTCCACGATAATAGTTACAACAGCGAGTCAATTTATTTTGATACACAATTTAAATATTTCAAAAACACTTGACCCTTTAGAAAATGCAGGTTCTACTAAAGTTTTAATTACATAAAAACACCACACACACAACAAAAATTAGAAAATATACTTGAAAGGTAAATTATTGTGTTAAGCAAGTAAAGTGTACATGTATAAGATAAGCAGTTATCGCCTAAGTAGTCAAGTTCATCTTATGTTAGTAGAGTCTGATTGACTCAAAAATTTTGATTAAACTAACAAAAAACAACTGTGGATAGTTAAATTAATAATCAGTAATAAATAACAGTAAAAATGTATTTAACACTTATAATGTAAATAAAATATTATGCTCAAATTTTAACAATCTAAATTTAATTTCAGGTATGAAGTTTTTAAAAATGAAAATGGTGATTCGTGTTATACACCAGTGGGATATTCAACAATCTATGAATACTATGCTTACCCTGATAAAATCCGGCCTAGAATTAGTCAAATGTTAATTCTACCACCATTTCAGAGGAAAGGATTGTGCGCTAAACTCTTGAATTCTGTTTACAAACACTATGCCACTAAATCAGATGTTATTGATATTACAGGTATTAATTCATATTTATTAATTTGCATGTAATATTTATTATAATATATATGTTGATTTGTTTTTTTTATCAGTTGAAAGTCCAAACGATGAATTTCAACTTGTTCGAGATTTTGTGGATGTTACTAATTTTCATAATCTGAAAACATTTGAAGAAGAAAAATTGAAAAAACTGCATTATCAAGAAATGGTTAAAGAATTTAAAAATCTTTACAAAATCAACCAGGTATGAGTAGTAAAATAATTAATTTATTTTATTTATTGTAAACATTATTGTTGTGTATTATTTATTTAAAATTGTAAGCTCCAATCTACATTGTTATAGTAACAATTATTTACATACAGGATGGAGTGGAGTAAATTTAAATCATATAAAAATACTTAATTTACCATGGGTAAATGTAATTTTAAAGTTAAGGTAAAATAATTTTTACCATTAATACATTTTTAATTAAATGTTGTGTATGTTTAGACTTTATATTTATAGTGGAGTAGGGCCAAGTATGCAAATTACCCAAGACTCATTAGAAATATGTGAACATATTTTTATAGGAGTATTAAAAAAACAATCAGGAATTGGTTATATATTTAAGATGACGCCACACGAACACTTGTCTTCAACATTGTAAATTTTATGTTCCAACAATATATTTAACAAATACATTTTACTTTGTAATTACCAGAACTAGTTAAAACTAGTTGAAAGTATGAAATTTAAAGGTAAGAATATTATTTAGGGCACCGTGGAGAATTGTATCGATATTATTTTTAAGTAAACTATGATCATTATAATGTGTATATACAAGTACAGTTTAAAAATAGTCATAACTTACTTAAAGATAAAATCAATAACATTTTTCTTTAGATGCCCTCGATAATATTTTCGCCTTTAAAATTTAATAAGAGGTAAATTCACTCTAGTTTTAGAAATTACTGTGTACAACGTAGTATTGTAAAGTACAATTTGCCATGTTGTAAGACTTAACAACAAAATGCTCGTGGGGATCTTCTTAAGGGGGCTCTAGCAGGTACAATTAATCATGTAAAGCAGGCTAAAAGCTAGACAAAACTGTAGGATATGGATTTGACGGATTTTAATTTTGAAAACTAATTAAAAATCTTCAACAACTTGACTGAAGCATGGCCATCAAAATATATAAAATACCAAAATTCTTGTCTTTTAAATTGTTGATTTTTTATTGAAGAATTTGAATGAAGAAAACCATTCCCTAGCTAACACAATGACTAAATAATATTTATTTTCAAAATTAAAATCCATCGAATCCAAGTCCTTTAATTTTGTATATAAATATACATATTTGATTAAATCTGTATCTTAGACACGTGCCCGCTCGTTACGAAAATTTATATGTGGTACTGGATAACAAATTTTACAAATTATACACACTAACATACATTTACTTCTCACACATAAACACAGCTGAAATATTAATTCTTAGAACACTTCACGCTTCAGCCATCTTAATACTATATTGATATTCTCCCAGATAAAATTACATGCTAATCTGTTGGAACCTTTTACTCATTAACAACTATCCCATCAAAATAATTTTCTATTCTGTAATTGTAAATAACAATTTTAAAAAAAAACTATGTATATTGCATTTATTTTTTCTTGTAAATCCTAATTTATCCATCAATTGATTTTAAAGGAAATAAAATAAATAATATGGACAGTATTTAATTTTCTTTGTCATTATTGCATTATATATTTACAATTGCACTATTTCACCCCAGAAAACAAAATTATTGATAGAGAAAATAGACACACGAGTATGAGTAAATGTGGGCAAGGTACTAATGAGAAGCATTGGTATCCCTTCATTCTTGTTAAGATAGAATAAAATGTACTTCTTATACAAATTAATTACGAAAGAAAATATAAATTTATGTTGTAATTTGGTACTTTCTGTGCCCTAGTGTATTCCCCCTGTCTATTATGGCATTAATATAGCTGTCTTAATGTATATAAAATCTAACTGTTACTAATTATTATAGTTAGCACGATACTTCGTGTACCAAGACTCGTCTCTCCTCTAAACTCCAAAGAATCTAGGCTTAAATCTTTTCTAGTCACAAAGTATTCTTTTATGAATATCAGACATCAATCGTTATGAAACGATACCAAATCATTCCCCAATATTCTTATAATATGGTACAAACTAATATATTATACAACAATGTAATTTGCCAAATACAGCTTTGATGTATGAACATAGTTGGTATTTTCCCTGTCTTAGCTTCACTAATATTTTCAAAAACTATTTTGGAACATCACCAGATTGCCATTTGATATTTAAATAACTTGTAGTTTAGATTTAAAATCTATTAAAAATCAAAGACTTGTTTGTAAAAAAGATTAAAATCTGATATATTTTTATTAGGAGTGCAAATACATATTATTTTTCACAGAGTTAAAATCTTTATGCTTCTTCAATTTGGTTACAAATGTTGTTTTATGTTCTTATATTAAATTAATATCTTAATTCACGGGTATATAAAATTAAATAATAATTCTTAATTAAAATTGTTTTAGAAACAAGTTCGTCGCGTAATAGAAATTATACTACTAAAAATTACCAATCGGCAGAATAAAGATGAATATGAAAAATATAAGAAATTTGTAAAAACAAGGTTGAATTGGCCATTTCAAGTACGTAATTAATAATATTATTAATCTTATATCTAACAGTTGAATGTTTTGTATTTTAAATTTATATTAAAATATTATTTATATATTTATATTTACTTATTTTTAGAAAAAACCTACCAAACTTATGTTGGCTATGCCAGCCGAAGAAGTTGAAAAAATCCAAAAAGCTGATTCAATTGTAAAACTAGAAGATTTAGATATTGAGTATAATGAATTAGAACCATCATATGATAAAGTAATCAAGCGGTTAGAAGTTAGCCTTTCTGTATAGTTAAGCGCCATAAATATCCGGTTTCTTACTTGTTCTATGATAAATAATTTTATTTCAATTTTTCTACATTTATTTTAATTATTTTTAACTTATATAAATGATTTCAAATCATGTTCCTTTTTTTATTAAAGTAATTAAGTCTTAAAATAAATGAATATTATAATAAACTTAATTAAGTATTTTTAATATTATCATTCAATTTTAATATTATACAATTTATAACTCTGAAGTAATAAATAATATGTGAATTGTTTTAGGTTTTTATTTTGTATTATAAACTTGACGTTGAAACAATTGATTCGATTTTATAGTATCAAATAAAACCAAAATTAATATTCAATTTTCCAAAAAGATTTTATTTCATGAAGCTTTATACTATTATTTTAATATATGTTACAATATTCAGCTTTATACTACTTGCATTTCATCAGTTTTTATTTAATTTCAACAAAATGATATAAATTTACCACCTAATGTTATGTAATTACTGCTAACTAATGAGTATATTTCAGTTGTCAACCATCGTTCATAAAATTCATTAAATTTTCTAAACTGTTCCTTTAAAAAAAATTATCGTTTCATGGAAGTATGAAGTAACTGTAGACACCTGCTCCAGTCAGACGAATCTTCTCAAAGTGTTCTATCATTAGAGGAACCAATTGAGGGGCGTGGGCGATGCTCTAATTTGATTGGTTATTGTTAAGACACAGAACCTTTTGTGTGAATTGTATTGTAAGTTAATATAAAATTGAAATCGATAATAAGATGCAAAACAACTGTTACAAAAATAAAGTAAAATGATTTATTTAGTCACATCAATATAGCGGTTATAACAGAAGTTGTTAAATGGCACAATATATTTTCATTGTTTTATTTTGACTAATAGTTATTAAAAGTTAAAAAACCTTAATGTTTAATCACTTTGATGAACAATAACAATAATAAATTATAAATCATAAATTCAATAAAAAAACATTAAATCAACACACATTTATACACCTTTTGGAAGTGTTGTTAAAATTATGACATTCCAAATATTTTAAGCGCATTAATTGATGTTGCTAAAGCCACTTCATCTGGCTTTTTAGCAATTAAACCAGCTAATAATTCCACTAAAATAGGTAATGAGCATGGTTCGTTCCGATGAAATGTACAGTAACGCTGTAAAAATCCCAGTGATCTGTGAAATTACAGTACATAAAAATTAATAATCATTTCAAAATGTACATTTAGTATAAAACTATACCTTTGAGTGAGGCTAGATTTTAATTCGTCAGTAAGATTTGCTGCTCTAGCATTTGGATACATAAACGGAGAATCAGATTGCACTAGTATTCTATCTAGTGTTAATGTCCCAGCACTTAAAAGTTTTTTGATTCCGCTACCAGAACTATCTTTGCACAATCCTCCTACAAAAATAAAAAATATTAAAATAATTGAATACTTATATAACTTAAAATAAAAAAATACAAACTGTATATTTAAATATTGCATGATGCAATTTACATAATACTGTCATTATTCATTGAGAAACTACACATCTAAAGACAAAAAAAAAAGTTACCTGTTATTCCAATGTACATTCCCAAGTTAATGTAGTCAGTAGCTTCTTCAAAAGAACCAGTAAATGAATGTAAAATAGCTGGAAGCTCTAAAGGCAAATGTGTTTTTAAAATCCTTAAAAAATCTTCATGTGCTCCTTTTTGGTGCAACATAATGGGCTTTTTTATTTCTTTGGCCAAGGAAATCTACATAAAAACCAAATATTAATAAAATAATATATTTGTTATATTAAATACGACATGCAAAATATACAACCATTTTATTCTAACCTGTTGCCTGTTGTTTGCAAATGATAATCATATAATAAACATCAATTAAAAATTTAAAAGAAATAAATCTTACTAATTTCATACATTTATGTTTTAGTTATACCTGTAGTTCAAAAACTTTTCTTTGTATATCAGGCGATGAAAAATCTTTGTTATAATCCAAACCACATATACCAATAGCTACACATTCTGGATTTTTAGCAATATCTCTCAGTTCGTCATAATAATTATCTTCCCAAGATTTAGCTTCATGTGGATGGATACCTATTAAACATAAAAAAATAACCATAAAATAGTACCTATTAGTCAGTACTTCATAGAAGTGTTAAATAAATAGGTAATCTAATAAAATATTTTTTCAACCACATACCTATTTTATACAATAGGTACCTAATATTTAATCTTTAATTTCAAGAGTGAAGGTCAAATAGCTGGTACTTTAGTGTAAATAAATAATTTTCTTTTAAAATGAATCTGTATAAATTATCTAAAAACACTTACATATAGCCAATTATAATTTTTTTAATGGAAAATGTTTAAGTTGTATTGATACATACTAATTTAGGTAAGCATTTTATAGACTAAATTACTAATGGTACATGTAGGTCATTTACCCGCAGTCGAATATAAAGCTCCTGGATAAATTCTTGCTAGCCGTAACGCTTCTTTACTCGTTCTAAGAGAGGTACATGGAACAATTATTTTTTGAACACCTGTAAAATGATAAAATAATTGGCAGGATATAACAATATTATCAACAGTTATACACCCACAGCTGTTGACAGTGAACAATATCATAGAAAGTTGTTGTATTATAATATCTCTGGCGTTAGAAAAAGCTAATAAGTCTGGAGACACAATTGTCAATGCATAAAACGAATCAATAGCGGTACGTAACCATACCTGAATCTTTTGCTCGTTGTAACACCGATTCCAAGTCCCTGCTGAACTTCTTGTTTACCATGTTTGATCCAACGTCGATGAGTAGATAATTGTCATAGTTCTCTCGGATCGGATCCTGTACTTTGACAGCACTGTTGGGTTGAAAAGCCATGATACCTCTACAAAAAGCGTGCGGAATTAAAAATGAAAACGGGCCCAAAAGATTATAATTATTATTGTTGAATAGGTTGAGTCTGTGTGCATATATATATGTATATAAATATATAATTATATATACAACGCTTTTTGTGTTTTAACTTTTAACTGTGCCAAAGCTAAACTATTATGTTTTATGGACACTGTACAGATCGTGGTGGTCTACTTACTACTTATCTAATGTCTAAATAGAATTGCCCAGTCGGTGATAAAGAACGGACAAATACCTATGACATTAATAATAATAATTGTAATCGAAAACAACAGCATTAAAAAATAAAATTCCATGCGATAGCGACCGAACTAGCAGCGGATCGTCAGTCGTCACTTGTCAGTGTTATCATTAAACATAAATAATATTATTCCGACGCGACGGGCTGTGTTTGTTGGTCAATATTATGATAAGCGCCCGTTTTTCATTCAATATATGTACTACAAACTATGTGATAAGAAACCTCTTGTATGTTCGGTTGCATTTCACGACATTTCGATGTCAAGGGGATCGAAGCGCACGTATTTTACGTACGTTATGCCGGTGGTAAATTTAACATATTTCGGAATGTCCGATTTTAATTATGATTGTATGTATGAATAATTTGACAAAATACCTATGATTTTTAGGAAGTCGGTTTTCGATTTTCAATTTTAAAGGACTTTAAAATTAAGATATTTTTTCAAAAATCCAATAAAAAGTAGTTGCATTGCATTTGCATATATTTTGGGTACAAAATCACAATGTAGATTATTTAGATAAACAGCTTTAAACAATTTAACATGCAAAACAAGTTAACTAATGAGCTTATAAAAGTAATTTTATTACATTAAAATTAGTAAACATGATAATAATTAATCAAAAATAATAGAAATCAAATTATTTAAAGTAAAGAAAATTAATCAAAAAACAAAATCTATATTTCTTTTTTTGCTATTTGAAAAGCGTTCTATTATCTTATCTTCTGAAATATCAAATCCTCGATGAATATACAGTAATGCTAAGCCACAAAGTCTATCTTGAGACATCTTTGTCCTTAACCAAGTCTTAAGCTTGAAGCTTGAAAATCCAAGGTGGGCGAGCGCCCCCTTTGCCCCCTCCTAAAAACCGCCACTGGCGTTCATGTCGTTTCGCGACACACTTATTAGAGACCTCACGGCACACCTGTAGTTAGACACTGGTTTGGTTTAGAAGCTTATTATAAATTCAACCATTTTTTTCAAAATTACGTTCGGGCTTCAGGAAGTATGATTAATTTATTACCAGTATCTGTGGTTTCTGTAGTTATGCAAACAAGAATATATTTCATACTTGAGGATGTATTGACATGCGCTCGCGTGTGTGAGAGTTTCATCCGACGGTGCTTGCCCGACGCATAAAAAATTACATTTGAAAAGTCATCGTGTGTATAAAATATAAAAATATACTCTAAAAGTTTCAAGTATCCACGTATAATATTTTTATATTACCCGTACAGTGTACGATTTAAAATATTATGCATGCTAATTATGTGCAATGCTAATATAAATTATTATAATGTACCTACCAACAATGTCGAGGTAAAATAAATCAATTGCAATAAGTGATTTTAATATGTGTAAGTAAAAAATTGCCAAGAACTGTGATTGTACGTGTAATTACACGCGCGCGCGGGTCGCCTATTGTAGTGCTTTACACCCACCGACCGACCTGTGGATTAGGTGTGTATTATATATATGTATAGCGATTAGCGACTCTGTAGAAGTGGACGGGATCGCCGACCAAGGCTAGAGAGTGCTAATGTGTAAGCTTATATATTGTGGGTGTGTGTACTTAAAACTAATGGATAAATGGGTAACTTAGATAATAAAATGATAACTACAATATTATTCGGGTTTGGTTGGCTGTACTAACGTGCCCCCCAACTATGTAAGACCTTTCCAAAAATTATTGTGACCTTATTTTTTCAATTTGTAACTATTTGTAACCAACTTTTTAGAATTTGTAACCTCATCATTTTTGAGTACCGATCGATTTCCCCAAGAGGGGCTGGCCCCCCCAACTCAACGAAATCCCCCAAAACAGCTTGTAACTTATTTAAACCCAATTTGTAACTATTTGTAACCAACTTTTTAGAATTTGTATTACACGTGTTACACAATTCATTTAAATAATGCAAAATATATACAATTCACAACAACAGCGCCCAAGGTATAAAAATATAAGGGTAATGTAGTATAATGGCCAAAATTATTATAATAAATTACGGCACTTCTGGCCCATCAATACAATAACAATATAATAATATATAAATAAAAACTCACAAATATGACGGTGCACGGCTGGCCAGCTGCTACCTGGGCCTACAAAAATGGTAATTGACACACACACGAAATAATAATTGTAAAAATGTGGCGATCAGCGAACAAATACATAATATAATAATAAATAACAAAAATGGCGATTGGCGCCCAAAAACGAAGCATAATAAATTTGGCGATTGGCGCCTTCAAAATATAATAAATAAAATTGTTTTCACGTTGACGTTAACGGAAAAAGGAAGACTACCATGTATACGGCGGCCGATAACGCGTTAACCTAATCTACACATATTATATAACAATTCACATATATATTAACATAATTAAATACAAAAATAAAAACGATACAAATATAACGGTGATTATGTGTGTGAGTGTGGCTGGTCGGCTGGATATACTAATTATTGCAAATATTATTATGCCGGCACGGCGCGGCGGTGACGTAGGCCAGCAAAATGGTGTTGGCAAAAATCACTCAATTATTACAATTTCAAACGACGATTAATGTTTCTGTCTAGCACGAATTCGTAATCAACTTCTACAATACAATATCATTTTTCTTTGTATGTGTAAATGGAAATTGTACGAATTATTTTCGTATTTGTAACGAAATACAAAAAAATCTATAAAAATTAAAGTAAAATTCATTTAACAACATAAAACATTTATCTCATACAGATCAGAATTGTATTAATGGTCATAAAAATAATTCAAAAAGAATTCGAGTACAGTGCAGATGAGATACATATTTCAAAAGTATTTAAAATACGTATTAGAATACTCAGTACAAAAATGTAGTTGAGTACAAACACAAATACTATTAAAAAAAACCTCCTTTCAAATTTGTAATAAATAATCAAGAGCCCATTTTCATGATTAACTTTTATTTTAAGGAACATTTACATCATATAATGTGGTATTAAATATGCTATAAAATACTGAACAAACTGTTTTCTCTGTCGAAGTATTTGAATTTTTAATTAAGCTTAATTCAAGTTAAAAAATATATTATTATGAATTCCTAATTTTTATTTTTATATAACGTGATTAAAATTGAATATATTATATACAAAAAAAAAAAGTATTTTAAAATTAGAATTTGATATTAAATACGAATACTCTGAAAAAATATTTAAAATAAGTATTTGGGTACTTATAAACTAAAAAGCGTTGAATACTTTAGTTGGAGTATTTAACAAGATTTCTATAGGTCGATTTTACTTATGAACCCTAAATAGATCTGGATAACTATACACACTTAACTTGATTTAGTTTTGTCCAGAGAATCCCCTACTAAAAATTGTAAGTTTTTGATGCGAAAATTATAAAAAATGAAATGGCAAATACAATGCGATTATGCGAACTATAATATGTATTAAAATAAATTTTTGAACATTCATTATTTCCGGTTTGTGGGAGGCTGAGGTAATGGGTGAAAAAGAAAAACTAGTTTAAAGAAATTTTAAAAAATGATTTTAAATTTCCTTTCTTCTTGTAAAGACTCCCTTTTTGGTCTCATCATTAAATATAAGTAGTAAAGAGATTCGTGTGTTATGGTTTCGTATTGTCAAGTAAATATTAATACATGTGACACTTACTATTGCAGAGACTCCAAGGACGATAGTTGACCGACAAAGTGGATTGCCACTAAAAGAAAAAGGGATAAAGAGATCGAAAGAATCGCTATAATCTCTTTGATACCACCGCCATAGGTCAGCAATATGAAATGTGTTGTTTTGTTCTTTCACCATTACTTATGAACTACCGAGAAATAAAGCTTAAAAATGTAGGTACGTAATATTATTAGTAACTGAACTAAAATAATGTTGAAATTTGAATGAAACGTAATATTTTGTAACATTTGGATTCGGGTGTAATTGCGTCAATGTTGATAATATTTTATTGTAAGTACCAGACGTAACATAGACAATTTACACATATAATGTCAAATAATACTACATGACATTATGAAAACCTAAAGTAGGTTTTAATTAATTCATAATTACTCATTTAAACGAAAAAGAATATTTACCATACGGCTTATACACGTACAGAATATAGGTTGTTGTAATTATAATGAATCAATACGTTTTTATTTAAAATACAGTAATAATATGTAATCAAAAAAAAAAAATAAAAATGTATTACCTTTAATGGCGTATTGGTATCAA